AATTTTTAAAGAAAGAAGAAATTGAGATAATGGGCCTACAAAAGAACACACTAGGAATATAGAAGTAGAATTTAATCAGTGTGTATTTTCACATGATAACATATAGTGGGGGGGATATATTCCTGAAATAACTAGAAAAGTATCCAAGAAAAACATAAGATGAAAGAGACCCAAAAATGTTATTGTCAAGGAAAATTGAATATGCTCTTAAATAGAAATCATGTAAATACATTACCTATGTAATTTTTTCAGGTCATGCTCACAACACTTATTCAACTACAGTATATTTAGAAAAAAATTTTTTTAGTCTTTGCTACTTTAAACCAACACTTACTTTAAACCAACACTGGGTGAAAAGGAGTCACAGATGAAATCTAATTTTATAGAAAAAACTTGAATTTTCATTTTAATTGATCAGCAGACTGTTAAGAATTACATATATTGATTAGTAGATATCTTGCTAGGGGTCAAATGTTTAACCTTATCCAGCACCTTTTTCAACCAGATATACCAATATGAATTTTTTTTTTTAATTTGTCATTATGCTCTTCTGTAATCTTCTTAAGTTCCTCTATTGCTTTGTCTGTATGTTCCTTGACTTGTTCTGCGTTTTGCCTCATCTCCTTCCTGATATCTTGAAGAGTTCTGTATATTAATCTTTTGTATTCTACCTCCAGTAATTCCAAGAAGGTCTCTTCCTTGGAAAGACTTATTCGTTCTTTGTTTTGGGAGCTTGCTGAAGCCATCAGTCTGCCTCTTTATGTAATTTGATATTGACTGTTGTCTCCGAGCCATCAACAAGTTATTATATTTATTTATTTTATGTTTGCTTACTGTGTCCTAGCTTCTAATTTTGTTTTGTTTTGATATGCCCAGATAGGCTGCTCATGTGAGCTAGTTTGATGATTGGCACTTTTGAAGCTCTAACATCCTGTCACCCGGTTGTTAGATCTGTTACTAGGTATGTGAGCCCAGGAGTCTGTTTACTTTTCTTGTGTGGATTCAGCTCAGGTGTCTGGGTAGTTGGTCACCAGTTGTGTGGTGCAGGCTCTCACCTGTAGTCCTAGATGGGCAAGGGTGATTGGAGTAGGCACAGGTATCTGGCTGCAGTAGGGGGTCACATGCTGAGCAAGGCAGGGGACTGACGGCTGCCCCTGAGTGTCTGAGAGGAAAGAGTGTCCCTGTTTCCTAGAGTGCGTAGGTGGGTGGGTTTTGCAGCCGGACCATGGGTACCCAGTGCTGTTGTCTGTAAGTACTGGGAGGCACCACTTATTCTTAGACCCCTGTCACAGGTGGCTAGGTGGTGTAGGTGGAGCCACCAGTCCTCAGGCCCCTGATGTGGGTAAGTGAAGACCCTGCTTAATGAGCAAAGTGGTGTCAAATGTCACAAACCTACCACTCCGCCATATAGCTGATACAGTTGAAGTTAGGCTTCAGGTATATACTCTGTTGTACTACGATAATGAGGGCCTATGCTGTTGAAATGTGCCCACACAGGTCTATGCAGGGGTGAAAGGCATTCAGAGTCTGTGAACACCTTATGCCTGTGTCTAGGGTGCTGTGCCTGCCCTGAGTTCCTGGCTTATGGGAGCTGGCAGATTTTTTTATCCTGTTTGTTAATTTTTTCCCTCTCTAAGGCCGGGAGAATGGCTCAGGGCATGTAATGGGTCCTACTTTCGGCCCAGGGGATGCAGCAATCACTGAAGCTGGCCCAGGACCTGGTGCAAGAGCAGGGAGGGAGCGGGTAAATAGGGAGAGGTTCTTCCCAAACTATATTTTTTTGATCTGTGCGGTAGGTTAGACACATGTACTTATCTTTTGCCAATTGAGCTCCACTTTTCACTGGTTCTGGAGGCTTGAGTAGACTCTCCGC